TGCTCGTGCGCGTGCACGGGGGATGCGCTTCACCTGCCCGCTCTCTCGCAGCCACTCGCTTGGCTCGATGCCAGGGAATGAAATTCCACCCGGCCGGCAGCACGGGGCAGCTTCACCTGTCCAGATTCCAGTCCCTCCTCAAAGGGCCTCGACATCGCCCCCCCCCCTCTCTCCTCCTCCCCGATCACTTTGCCTCGTGGCCTCAGCCTTGACTCTCAAGGGGTAGCCCTGACCACATCGGGGCTCGCAACTGTTTGACTGCCTCTGCCAATGAGGAAATTTAATCACGGTTTGCTGCTGCGTGCGTTAACGCGGTTGCGCTGTAACGGCTCCCCAACGTGTTTGTGGGCTGCGCCGCATGTTGTTGTTCCGTACGACGTCCGACGTTTCGCTCCACATGCTGGGAGCTTGTTTTCATCTCGATTCCCGCAGTTTAATTCCTGAAGAAGCCCCCATCACGCGGAGCGAAACGTCGGACATCATGCAGGCCAACACGCGGTACAACCCGAAAACGCAACGTCGATATCGAGCCATGCATTTTCTTCTTCAGATGAAAAAACAACTCCTATAAAAACAAGTTTTACACCGTCTGTTGAACTTCTTTCGCACCGTACGTAGCCAACCGTTCTGTAAACCGGACTAAGAACTTGGTATGAATGCAAACAAGACGTGGCGCTTGTGAGTTTTATTTAGAGATGAATGCCCATCTCTCGGTGTCATCCAATCTCCCGTGTACACGATCATGTAGCATTACAGAGGCCTGTTAGTTTCTTGATGCGCAAAGATTCAGTTTAAATGTAATTATCCCCTAGGTTTGCCATCTATGGAGAAATGTCAAATTTAATATAAAATTTCTCTCCGTCGCTGTTTGAGGAGGGTTGCTTTGCGTTATTATTACATCGGCGGTATGGCGCTTTCTTTTTACAAGATTAAGCACGCAAAAAAAAACGCACGCGTAAACCAATATCTCCCGAGTCTGATGTTGATTATATCGAGTGTATGTAAATAATGATACAATGGGAAAGAGACCTGCGCTTGAGAGAGAGGGAGACGGAGCACCACCCAGACAGGATACGCTCTGAGCGCTGCAATAAAACCAGCACGTGTGATGCAGCACGTGTCGCACTGCACGTGTCGCACTGTACGTGTGGCACTGCACGTGTGACGCTGCACGTGTTGCACTGCACGTGTTGCGCTGCACGTGTGACGCTGCACGTGTGACGCTGCACGTGTTGCACTGCACGTGTGACGCAGCACGTGTGACGCAGCACGTGTTGCACTGCACGTGTTGCACTGCACGTGTGACGCTGCACGTGTTGCACTGCACGTGTGACGCAACACGTGTGACGCAGCACGTGTGACGCAGCACGTGTGACGCAGCACGTGTTGCACTGCACGTGTGACGCTGCACGTGTGACGTAGCACGTATGACGCAGCACGTGTTGCACTGCACGTGTGACGCTGCACGTGTGACGCAGCACGTGTGACGCAGCACGTGTTGCACTGCACGTGTGACGCTGCACGTGCGACGCAGCACGTGTGGCACTGCACGTGTGACGCTGCACGTGTGACGCAGTACGTGTGATGCAGTACGTGTCGCACTGCACGTGTGACGCAGCACGTGTGGCGCTGCACGTGTGACGCAGCACGTGTGACGCAGTACGTGTGATGCAGTACGTGTCGCACTGCACGTGTGACGCAGCACGTGTGACGCAGCACGTGTGACGCAGCACGTGTTGCACTGCACGTGTGACGCTGCACGTGTGACGCAGCACGTGTTGCCCTGCACGTGTGACGCTGCACGTGTGACGCTGCACGTGTCGCACTGCACGTGGCGGAGCGTTACCCAAGTCCCCGACACACGAGCGCAGACCTGCTCCTGCTGTGACTAATTTAGCCCATGGCAATTTTTCAAGGTAAATCCCAACTTCAAAGGTGTTTGGTTTACAACCTGTATACCACAGCAGCTGCGTGCAGGACATTAGTGCCGTGGAACGTACACGGATAACGATCGGCCTTCTGAGTTGTCCCATTATGCTCGATAATTGGAGAGTGTTTTGTTTGTTGATGATGGATTACGTTGAAAGAGTTCCTTATCTATCCAGTGAAGTGGACAATAGCAAATGCAGCACAACGCACGATTGAGGGGGCTCGGTGGCGAGTTATAACAGTGTTAATGCTTTTGTCTGATACGTACTCTGTATGTTATACAATAATCATGATCCTTGCAGTGGTATTGAGCTGATGACGAAACGCAACATCTCAGAGCGTAAGGTTGATATGGTCTAGGGGACCCCTTTATGGCCACTGTCCTTGTGCATCGCAAGGTGACTTTGCATTAACCTGCTGAGCGCTAACAATTATGCAACGATTTTCGTGTAATCCAAGTTGAGCCATTTACGGGTTTATTTTTCAAATTTGGACCACAATTTGGACCACGATTCTGGCAAACAAAGGCCTACCACTTTTTTTTAAATGTCACAGCCTCTTTAATATCCACTGTGAAGCAGATAGCGCGTGTGTATGGTTAAGGCACCCCGCAGTATTAACCGGGGCGGCCGACCAGAGCAACATCGCGAACCTCTGCAACAATCGGGCGAGCTTCTGCTGGGCACCGAGCGGCTATGCTGCGGGTGAGCACGCGGCGGCACGAGGGCCCGTGCAGTGGTTGAAGCCCTGCACTGTGAACCCAGCGGCCTGAGTTCGATTGCCGGCCGCGGCTGCCATCAGTGGTGATGTCGAACCGGATTGGTACTCGCCTCCCCACCCTGCACCACCACCACCACCACGTGACAATGGCGAGCGTGGTCCCACGCGTTGTGGTGAGGCCTTCAGTCAGCAGTCGATTGACAAAGGGGCTGTACCTTCTTTTGTATTATTCATGCTGAGACAGATTTGATTGAATACGGTGGCATTAAATCAAAACGTGGTTTGAATATTTACATTTACTATGACTATCTTTGTTCATAATAACAGGTTTGAAGCCTATCTTTCTGTTACATCTGAGTCATGGTTCCTCTGAATTTGGAACCTAGCTAAATAAAATGACAATTAAGGTGTATTCATAATAAAGTTTTTTGGGTTATATCGCGTTATTTATAAATGTGTCGTAACCCTCCACCACCCGACACGGCCAATCAGCAAAAAAAGTGTCACGTTGACAAAAGACAAATAGTTCACTACTTTAGCCCACCGGTGTGTTGAAGAGTGAATCCACAACATTTACAGTTTGAGTAATATTGGTCGCGAAAGCCTACGTGTTAAACTAATTAAGGTGTACTTTAAGTTTTGTATAAACAACTATGATATTATACTCTTTGGTTCTTTCGGTAAAGTCACGTAGGTATAAAATAAAATAAATCACGACGTTTCGGGCGCAACACAAGCGTCCATCATCAGGTGGGAAAGCATGGTCTGCCGAAAGAACCAAAGAGTATGGATTCCTGCAGTCACGAAAGCTTCAAATCAAGATTGAACCATGATATTATACAGAAAGCAGGGGTGCATTTAAATATAACTGCAGGTGCTGGGTGGATTCCAATTTTGCTGACACCACGAACGGCAACGATATTGGACGAACAACAACGCGGAGTTCGAAACAAGAGCGTTGACTCACGTCACACGTTGCTCGCTCTCCCTCCTTGTCGTTGCTACAATGAGAAAGTTCTCTATCTTGGAAACACTCCAGGCATATGCCGTGACTTCGAACCAGCATTTGTATAGGATGTGGATCATTCGTGAAGGACAATTACGTGGGTTATAAATTTCGGGGCTCCACTGGTACATTGAACAATAAACCCAGCAAGCACCATAATGCCACATAATTTAAATGACTCACAACCCTCTGTAGATGTTTTGTAGAGCGTGCATTTCAATGTAAACCTCCCGGGACGTTAGACAGGAGAGCAGACATCTGGTCTGTACATGATAACATAAAGTGTTTATTTAGATTTTATTGAGAATGAGGCTGTTTTGTGTTATAGTGCCATAAAACACAACATTATCTGTGCCTTTTAAATACATCTATTAAAGTCACCATAATCATTCTCAGCGTCGAATAAATCAGGATTGAGGAGAATATATCCAGTAAATCAGAATAATATATTAAAAAAACAAAATGTGTATATATGTAATTCACGAACAGGCAGTGGCAGTAGGGCAGTCGTTAGCTCATTGCACGATGAACCCAATGACACCAGTGACCGATGAAATATGAATCGGTCCCGGATGCTACTTTTACAAACCCACACTAACCAACGTGGTGAAGTATGGCCAAGCAACCCCCCGCAAACTAAGACAGCGTACAGAGGCCTGAATCAAGCAGTGGATTGACAGAGGGCGTGTTTAATAATAATAATAAGTGATAGCGTGCAATGCGTGACTGTTACGAAATTCATATCGGATATCTCAACAAAAACAGGATTAACCGTGCTAATTAAAAAAAAAATCTACGGAATTAGTTGTGAGATCGTGCCTTTTGTTCTCGCAAAAATAATGCCAAAAAAAATAGAAAATCTGGCTTCGGGTCTCGTTTTGCTTCGCTCTTTGCGCTGAGCCAAGGCAGTCGGCGCTTGGCAGGAAGGGGCGGCTCGGGTTCGCGATCTTCCTCTGGGGGGCGCGTTGATCTCATTTTCGTTGGCTCCAAGAAACCCAGAGGACACTGCTAACCTTTTCACATGTTTTGGCAACTCGTGAGAATCGCAATATGGGCGTTTGAATGTAAATATATATATATTTTTATGTATGTGTGTTTGCGTGCATATGTATATACTTATGTGGGGAGCGGTGGTGTAGTGGTTAGCGCACTGCGCTACGAATCTTAATGACCGAGTTCAATATCCGCTTGCTGCCAACATCGGTGATGATTATCTGAACCGGTCGTGGGCCTCCCCTATGTCGACTCAGCCTCAAATGAGTACCTGGTGCCGTGTGCAAACATCGCCACTGGGGAGACAAAGGCGGTCGGGCGTGGTGCTGGCCACCCACCCCCTCGTGTACCGTTCCGGCCTTCACAGGTGCTCGCTAACAGCACTTGCTCCAACAGTCTGTTCAGGCTATACGGGGAATCTTTGACTTTGTTTTATACTGATATACACGGGGTGTATTATAGGTATACTCTCTTCGCCGACCAACGTGGTGAACAACCCGAACGACCGACACAGAGCGGGGGAGGCTTTCATCCAGCAGTGGATTGGCATGGTGTCTGTAAGTTGTTGTTATTGTTTCTGTCCACGGTGTGTAACTTGTAATTGTAGTCGACTTCACTGGCATCTGAGTCCAACACATTTTTAACAGAGCTAAGCTTAGTAGCGGCTGATGTGTTTAATTATATTGTCATTGTCATTAATGTAACCAGAATTGGATTCCAAGGGCACACAGCTAATATTATACAACGCGCAAAAAGGTGTGTTATATTTTATATATATAGTTTCGTGCACACCTAGGACATATTTATTTTGAAACGCGCAACGAATAAATAAAGGCGAGATAATGTTCAGTTATTGCCGCATGACGATGATGATTACACGTTTTTTGTAAGTCCCCCGCCAACCATGACCAGGCCGGTTTCCACGTGTCTCGTTCAGGAGCGTTCTCCTCGCCTGCTGCTGCTGGCAGTGCCTTCTAGGGGGAGAGGAGAGGGGGGGGGAATTAGGGGGCCTTTTTCTCATCTTTAAAAAACAACAAAAGAACCCCCACCGGTCCAGGGGGAACGTGGCGTGAGCGCGATGATGTCATCGTTCACAGAGCCGGAGTGAACGCCACCCCCACCTCCCTCCCTCCTTTACCCCGGTCGGACAGCGCATGATGCAACAGCTCGCGGAGCCGTCTGGAACTAAAGGCGCACAAAAAACCAAGGGAGGTCGTCTCCCCCGATTCAGACGGACCCCCAGTAGCGTCCAGTAGATTTAAACAGCCCCCGCAGAGAACACAGCCACGCGAGCCACACACGCGCGCGGCTCCGTGGAGGTGGCCGCTGGCTCGAGGTGGAGCTATCGGTGGAGGAGGGCACGGCAGAGTGTGGAGGTGCCTTACGTGGGGGGAAGGGGAAGGGGGGGGGGTGAGAGGGTGGGCAAGAAAACCTCGTTTGGCATCTCGGAGCCCCGAGTGCTGCTCAATTGTTTTTCCGCTCACGACCGCTCCTCCTTTCCGCCTCGCATCCCCAAACAATCGGAGGCTCAGCTCGCAGGAAGTGCTGAGCGGTCCTTCCCGCTCATGGTGTGGCACCTGCGTGATGATGATGATGATGATGAAAAACAACAACAACAACAACAACCGCCAGCCACTTATCATCGCGTCGCGTAACGCCATCACGATGGCGAGTGTCGAATCCAGCCCAGAGTTTGCTCGCATTAACGCCACTGTTTCTGAATGTGCGGCCAACGAGACGCGTAAAAAAAAGTGCCCGAACATTTCACGTGAAGAGACAAATACGGGAAGGAGGCGTAGAGATCATCATTGATTTCGAGAAGTTTACATCCGTTTTGTTTTCATTTCTGCGTTCTCTGTTGTTATTTTTCTCTCTCTCCAGGACATAGAGCGTAATTTAAATGTTAAAAAAACCGCAACGCCGTGGTTTAAGATCAGAAGACGTTTTACTTGAGCCCGCTCTGCATTTTTTTAGTTCTTACAAAATCCCCACGGCGTTTCAAAGCCACAAATACACACTCGAGCAGTAGCCTACCTGAACAATACGTACAGAGCGTACGCACATTGTGCATATGCAGACAGAGTCTCGTGCACGTTCACGGCCACAGCTAACATCAGTGACGAGTGATATGTCAACCGGGTCCGAGACCCCCTCCCCCTCTTTCACCAACGCGCGCTTGCCCAGTGTGGTGAAGTATGGTCAAACAAGAACCCCCCCCCCCCCCCGACAAGAGACGCGCGGAGCGCTTTGTCAATGAACGACGGGCGAGGGCGCGCATGAGGCGTTCATCCAGCTATGGAGCCACGCGCGCACAGCAGTGGTGGCGTAATGATGGGGCCTCTTAATCTTGCCGGAGATTAGAAATCGAAACGTAAGCAAAGTGTCAACCTCTGGAGAGGAGGGAGAGCGAGGAGTGAGGAGGAAAGAAGGAGGAGGGAGAATGGAGGAGGAGGAGGAGGAGATGTCACAAAGTAAAAATTAAACACGTTTCTGGGAAAATATCTGCGGATAATCTCCTCCAAAGTTTCGCAACAACAAAAAGCACGCGGACGCGATAAAAGGAGACCGTGCAACGCCGCGTGACATTCATCAGCCGCCTCCACGAATAAAAACGCAGAGCCCAGCCACGGCGGAGACAATCGCGCGCGCGTGCGAGCATCTCAGCCAATAGTTCTGCCTCCATCCCAGCCCAAGCAACATTCTTGCTCGTCATGGGTACGTTGCCCCTTTGTGACCCGCGGTCACGTGACTTCATCTCTGCTCTACGTCACAGCGGTGGTTCTCACCCGGGGGCACGCGGACCCCCCTTACGGTCGGGGGGGGGGGTTACGCGTGGCAATGTCCCAGGGGGTACGTGAGGTGATTTATAAAAGTGGTGTGAGATTATATCGTACATGAGGGCCATTGGTGAACAATTATGTATTAATCTGCCAAAACAAAACATTTAAAGCCATATGTAGACCTATAAACGATATAAAATGCCTTTCTAAACTCGTTGATCGTAAGCAATTTTTGGTTTCCAGGAAGACCCAGCGAGCGCGTGCAAATCACGTGGTGCGTGCAAAGCGTCGATTGACATTTTTTTTTAATTCGCTTGCATTTACCTCACATTGTGAACAATTGGTTAAAATGTTGGCGTTCGTTTATTCATTCATATTTCTCAGAGCCATAGTGGGTCCGGCCATCGGGGGTTACGACTCGGTTGAAACGGAATTCAACAAGGTGGGCAGAGTAGCCGAAGACAGGATGAGAACCACTGCTTCACGAGATCGTCTGACCTGCCACTCAACCTCTGTGCTCTCTGTCCCATTGCAACGATCATCCCTGCCACTCAACCCCACGTCACAAAGCCCCCTCCTGAAGCCTCTGCGCGCGATGACGATTTGGTGGCATGGCGGTGTTGGCATGGGGTCCGTGTTTCTGGTGCTCAGAAGTGAGGGGCAGAAGTTTATTCGTAATAATTCCCTTGGGTCCCGTGTCGCTCAGGAAGATAATGGACAATTATTTCTCGTATTTGTTTGACTTACTATTGGGTGGAAAGCCAAGGACGCTCATGTTATGCTTTGGTTATTTTTTTTTATGGGCCACGGTAAACATTCAGATGTAGAAAAAAAGAACAAACGCACTTCAAAATGTTGACTTATGGAGATGAAGACGAATGCAGAGGTTGAATAAAGGACAAAGGCATATCCGCTTACTGAATATATTGTACAGACACTCTCCTTTATGCCACTGATGCGCCGAATAGTTGCCCTCCTCCCTGTGTCGCCACGTGTGTATAATACCTCGAGCTTGACCAGCCTTAGATAGGGAACAAGAATACACGACCTCTCCACTGCCTCGTCACGTCAGATTGGCTGTGGGAATTGTTTCACCACACTTCACTATGCTGGTCAGTGCGGGTTGGTGAAATACTGGAATAAGGTGGGGGGGGGGGGGGGTGGGGGGGTGGTAGGGGGGGGTAACCGGTTCAGATGTCACTCACCACTGAAGCCAGAGACCGAACTCAGGTAGCCAGGTTCAGGGTGCAGTGTGGAAGCCGATCTGCTGTGTTTGACAGCGGCCACCATCGTGCATCTTGTCATTACGACAGCTGCGTTTATTTATAATTATTATGATCACAGCTACACCTGCCCATGAAACGAAACACCCATCTCAGAAGCAATCAATCAATCAGATTCCAAACTCTCCACCATGGCCAAGACCAAAGAGCTCTCCAAGGATGTCAGGGACAAGATTGTAGACCTACACAAGGCTGGAATGAGCTACAAGACCATTGACAAGCAGCTTGGTGAGAAGGTGACAACAGTTGGTGCGATTATTCGCAAATGGAAGAAACACAAAATAACTATTAATCTCCCTCGGCCTGGGGCTCCATGTAAGATCTCACCTCGTGGAGTTGCAATGATCATGAGAACGGTGAGGAATCAGCCCAGAACTACACGGGAGGATCTTGTCAATGATCTCAAGGCAGCTGGGACCATAGTCACCAAGAAAACAATTTGTAACACACTACGCCGTGAAGGACTGAAATCCTGCAGCGCCCGCAAGGTCCCCCTGCTCAAGAAAGCACATATACATGCCCGTCTAAAGTTCTCCAATGAACATCTGAATGATTCAGAGGACAACTGGGTGAAAGTGTTGTGGTCAGATGAGACCAAAATGGAGCTCTTTGGCATCAACTCTACTCGCCGTGTTTGGAGGATGAATGCTGCCTATGACTCCAAGAACACCATCCCCACCGTCAAACATGGAGGTGGAAACATTATGCTTTGGGGGTGTTTTTTCTGCTATGAGGACAGGACAAATTCACCGCATCAAAGGGACAATGGGACGGGGCCATGTACCGTCAAATCTTGGGTGAGAACCTCCTTCCCTCAGTCAGGGCATTGAAAATGGGTCGTGGATGGGTATTCCAGCATGACAATGACCCAAAACACACGGCCAAGGCAACAAAGGAGTGGCTCAAGAAGAAGCACATTAAGGTCCTGGAGTGGCCTAGCCAGTCTCCAGACCTTAATCCCATAGAAAATCTGTGGAGGGAGCTGAAAGTTCGAGTTGCCAAACGTCAGCCTCGAAACCTTAATGACTTGGAGAAGATCTGCAAAGAGGAGTGGGACAAAATCCCTCCTGAGATGTGTGCAAACCTGGTGGCCAACTACAAGAAACGTCTGACCTCTGGAATTGCCAACAAAGGTTTTGCCACCAAGTACTAAGTCATGTTTTGCAGAGGGGTCAAATACCTATTTCCCTCATTAAAATGCCAATCAATTTCTAACATTTTTGACATGCGTTTTTCTGGATTTTCTTGTTGTTATTCTGTCTCTCACTGTTCAAATAAACCTACCATTAAAATTATAGACTGATCATTTCTTTGTTAGTGGGCAAACGTACAAAATCAGCAGGGGATCAAATGCTTTATTCCCTCACTGTATGCTGCAACACTTGTGTAACAAATCTTTGCCAGTGGTTGAACAGGAAAATAAAATCTATGCCTTTTGTAGCGCCAATGGTTTGGGAGAGCCAACAGATCTTATCAGCGATTGTTACTTCGGAATGGCGCCTCCAGTTGGGAAAGGTGTGTCAAAGAAGAAAAAGTGGATTCTGCATTATCCAAACATTCCATCAGCTATATGGCCAAGTATCCCACGGAGAAGGACTGCCGGTTCCTGATGCACCAGAATCATTTTCACTTGAGTCAGACGAGGAAGAGGATGAAACGTCTGGTCCTGAACCATCAAGGACACATGACCCAGAATTTCTCCCATCCTCTTCCTCTGAACCACACCTCATAACACAAGATGAACTGAAAGACATTGTCAGGCATTTGGAACTTCCCAAGAGTAAGGCAGAGCTCCAACCTTCAGCAGTGGAATCTCCTGGCAGGTGATGTTAGGGTTCCCATGTTCCGTGACCATCAAAAGGATCTTGTCCCATTCTTCTTCATGGAAGGTGATCTTGTAGCCTGCAACAACATCGATGGAGTGATGGCAGCCCTCAACATCGTCCATGATCCCGATGAGTGGAGACTGTTCATTGATTCATCGAAGATGAGTCTTAAAGCTGTTTTGCTGCATAATGGCAATTTTTTGCCATCAATTCCAGTTGGTTATGCAGTCAATATCAAGGAAACCTATGACAACATGAAACAACTTTTGAGGTGTGTTAACTATGACCAGTGGCAGCTTTGTGGCGATTGAAGGTTGTTGCTCTCTTGCTTGGTCTGCAGACTGGATACACAAAGTACTCCTGCTGTTTTCTCTGCGAATGGGATAGTTGTGTGAGAGAATTCGACTACATCAAGACAGATTGGCCACTCCGACAGTCATTGCAGCCTGGGAGAAAATTGTTCAGCATCCACCACTTGTTGAATAAAGGAAGATTTTGTTACCACTCTTACACATCAAGCTGAGTCTCATGAAGAACTTTGTCAAAGCCATGGACAACACACGAACAACTTTCAAGTACCTTTGTGAAATATTTCCAAGGTTAAGTGAAGCTAAGATAAAATAAGGTGTCTTTGTTGGTCTTCAGATTCGAGATGATGCCTCTGACAGTGCACTGCGTGGCAAGGAAAAGACGGCATGGAACGCCTTCTAGTTAGTGGCAACACATTTTCTCGGAAACAACAAGGCAGATAATTACACAGAGTTGGTGGAAAACCTCCTCAAGGCATACACAGGCCTTGGTTGCAACATGTCACTAAAGATAAAAAAAAATTGTCACTCTCATCTAGATTTTTTCCCACCGAACTGCGGAGCAGTGAGCGTCGAGCATGGTGAGCGATTTCACCGGGACATTGCGACAATGGAGAAACGCTATCAAGGCAAATGGAGCCCATCAATGCTTGTAGACTATGGCTGGGCAGTGACAAGAGATGCTCCTTTTCATGAAAACAAGAGACAAGCCAAGAAGCGCCGAGTAGACACTGAATTAGGACTAAACTATGTACTTGTATATACATAATAGTTTTTTTTGCCTTTTGTTTCATAATACATTTTATTTATATAAGCCTTTTGCTGATTTTGTGTTACATGAACAGGACAGGTAACATGTTATCATGTAAAGCAACCATAAACACATGAAAAGATCTAGGTTTACCATTTATGAATAAAACTCTACTACCTACACAATATACATATACGTAAAATGTAAAAAAAATTACATTTCTTGGTAATAATATCTAATCAGTCGTTGAAATTGTCATATTTGAATTCAGCACATCAAAATCCAGAATAAACAGCACATTTCATCTTTGAAGCAGACGACATCTAGAAACATTGTAGGCCAGTGAATGATATCAGTCATCGCTCATTGTGCCACTTCACGATGCTGGATGAAAGGAATCCTTGTGAAGCCCCTTGGTGCCAATCCGTCAACCGCGGGACGATGGCCTCACCAAGCCGCACGGGTGACCGGAGTTGCTTTGCCTCTAACTTCACGACGCTCCTTAGAGGCGAGGGGCATAGATACGGAAGCGCAGAAGTACAGTACAGCAATTCATGTTGCCGCACTGCTCTCTACCGTCCACCACGTAGGCCCGCAGCCCTGTGGCAGCGTTCGTGGTGGTGGCACGTGCGTGGAGGTGGTGGTGGTGGCACGTGCGTGGTGGTGGCACGTGCGTGTTTGCCGCTGGTGGTGGTGGTGGTTGACCATCCAAGCGCTGCAGCTCAGACTCCGAGATCGCTGGTCGTGGCAATATCAGGCAGAGGTCTTCGGAGCCCTCAGGCGGTGGTGGGATGGAAATTTGAGGGGCGGTGCGGTGGATAGGCCGCCAAAACCTCTGCGAAGGACACGCGTACGCAATCAATGTACATTAAACGCAACTTCGTCAGCGCCGATCGATCTATCGCAGTCCAACTGCGCGCACGGGTCGCCCACGTGCGCGTCTGTGTGTCCGCGTGGGGAGCGGTAGTGTAGCGGTGCAGCGGGGAGCGCTACGCTGCGCCACGAACCCGGCCACACGAGTTCGATTCCCGCTCACGGCCCCAACACCGGCGACGTTTATCTGAACCGATCCTGGGCCTCCCGTAGGTCGACTCAGCCTCAAATGAGTGCCTGGTGCGGTGGTGTGTAAACATCGCCACTGGGGAGACAAAGGGGGCCGGGCGTGGTGTTGGCCACCCCCACCCCCTCGTGTGCCGTGCCGGCATTTGCAAGGCGCTCGCTAACAGCACTTGCCCCTACAGTCTGTTAAGGCTACACGGGGGATCTTTGTCTTTGGGGGTGTGTAATCTACGATCTGGGCTGGCGCTTGGCATAAACCGCGTTGCTGTAGCAGCCCGTGCAGTGCTGCAGGGCAGGCCCGCTGCTTTGTGTGACGATGACTTTCAAACGCGAAAACTTCGCGACTTTCAAGCGGCAGGCGCTCGTCCCCATGTTATTAAATTGTAGTCACCGTGTGAAGGGGCTGACATTGTCCGATACTTGTGTAGACGAGTAGTGGAGGACGTCGTGTCACTCAGGGGGGTGAGAATGGATGACGTCAGAGGTTACGGGGGATATATAAGGGGGAACCCGTGACGTAGAGGGGGTCGTCGCGAAGGGCCAGGAACGGAGAGAGTTAGGGAGTCGGGATCCAGGGTAGGGGGAATCAGCGCCAGGGCGAGAGTGACTACTTCACCCGGCCGACCGAGTTGGATGATCCCTCGGTCGGTGCTGGGGGAAGATCACGTCTAGCCTGGGTGGAGCTAGGGACCTCCCAGTACCCTTTCCCCTGGGGAGATATTAGGATTGTTACTGGCAGTAGCCCTTAATAAACCTTGGCATCCGCCCCTACTCAAGAACCGTGTCTGCGTCGTCAGTTGCACCTCAACACTTGTATGCATGTATGTTTCACTTCTTTCGCACCCTATGAAGCGCATGACGGATGAGTATGTGAACACTACGGCACAACTGAAATACACCTTGATTTGAAGCTGTCGTGACCGCAAGAATCCACAATCTTTGGTTCTTTCGGTGAAGTCACGTAGGAGGAAAATAAAATAGATCACGACGTTTCGATCGCAACAACAGCAGGCGACCGTCTTCAGTCGGTCGCCTGATCCTCGGCGACTATTTCTGACTTCAATATTCCCTTGCTGAGTGTGGATGCAGCCCAGACAATGCCATGGACAGCCGAGCGCTCAGCACAGAGGGGCCCTCCCTGGTCGCGTGCCCTTCACTGCGTCTCTTAGCTGGGGCTTGCTCTGCCCCACGGCTTATTGTGCACCTTTGCGCAGTGTGAGCCATGTGTGACAACAGCCAGCCAATGGGGGTGGGGGTGTGGGAGCAATGCCTGTGACGCACACTTTGGAAGCGAGAGTTGGTGCCAGGCTCGCACGTGAAACGTAATACACCGGCTGGGCCCTGAAGTGGCCAGGGCAGAACGTCAGCACAGCGAGTGGGAGCATACTCCCCATCAGCGAGGTACCGTTGAGTAGGAATACGTTTTACCCTTTTAACTGGCACAAAAGCTGACACCTTTATTCAAGGCATCATGTTTGCAATAACCACAACGCAAGCAGTCAAAATGCAAACAAAAAAGACAACTCTGATAATGATATGCACTGTCCTTGAATTTGATTGGTCCACACCCGAGACGGCTTTTCTTAGAGCCCTTAGTCTTTTGGCGTCTTCTGGTCCAACACCAATGGAGACTAGGCTCTAAGAAAAGCCGTCTCGGGTGTGGACCAATCAAATTCAAGGACAGTGCATATTATTATCAGAGTTGTCTTTTTTTGTTTGCATTTTGACTGCTTGTGTTGTGGTTATTGCAAACATGATGCCTTGAATAAAGGTGGCAGTTTTTGTGCCAGTTAAAAGGGTAAAACCTATTCCTATATCTTGTTACTGGCAAAGGAGGTCTCATAATGTACCGTTGAGTGTTTATCTCGTTGTCAGCCACGTGGGGTTTCTCCAGCTACCGTGTTCTCCCCCTCACGCGAATCGCTCGTTAAATGTGAAATGGGCAAACATCTCGAGGTAGGAACCTCCTGAAGGAGTATCGAGACTGTCCGAGTTTTTTCAGTTAAAAACAAACCCAAATGCGTTTTAATGCTAAACTTCGGGATGAATTTTCATACCACATTGTCCTTATTTACATCACATACTCTCGATATCATATTCGCTTTTATATACACACATAGTTCCTGTTATATAATACAGACAACCACGTGTTATGCATCTGGAAATTTACTGTTTATTGTTTATAGCTTCTGATCGAATCAAGATGAATCGCCGTGCCATTTCACACAGACGTCGCCATTCTGGCAAGAGTGTTTTTTTTTGTTTTGCCGTACAGACGTCGGCCTTTCAAGAATGTAATCTCGGGTTCTCATCTGTCACTCGTCGGACACGGCACAGGGAGAGAGAGAGAGAGGCAGCGCTCCAGTCAAAACACGCGCCCAATAGCGCACGCGGGTTCCATTCTACGTCGACCGTGACCGGCCACCCAACAGTTCCACAGCCCTCCGTCACATTCAGGTTGATTGATGGTCCAGCGATTCTCGCCAGTCACTCGCATCTCCAGTCGCACCTCCAGCCACTCGCACATAAGCCAGGCATTTTCTTCCTAATTGTACCTTTTATCGCTACTACCATGGGTTACTTGAAACTATCATTCATTTCTCCACCCATGTCGAGGACTCGATCTACAAAACTGTTTCGTCTCTCATCCACACAGCGTGACCGTTGACCGTCACCACACTGCAGGTCACAGGAACACACTCGCACACTCGCTCCCACACTCACCAACACACTCACCAATACACTCACTCACACACTGACTCCCACACTCACTCACACACTCATCCACTCGCCCCCACACTCATTCACCAATACAGTCACTAACCCACTCACTCCCACACTCACTCACACACTCACTCACACACTCACCAATACACTCACTCACACACTGACTCACACACTCACGCACTCATCCGCTCGCCCCCACACTTATTCACTCATACACTCACTAACCCACTCACTCCCACACTCACTCACCCACTCACCACCACACTCACTCACATACTCACTCAATCACTCCCACACTCACCAACACACTCACCCACTCACTCCCACACTCACTCACACACTCACCAATACACTCACCCACTCAGTCACATACTCACTCACCCACTTACTCCCACGCTCACCAATATACTCACTCAAACACTCACTCATTCACATACTCACTCACGCACTCACCA